GCCATTTACCTTGAAGATCATTGTTCAAACCATGGCCCACCAAAATAGCTCCACGGGATAATAGCTTCTTTATGGGTTTCTGAAAAGTTCACACTAACAATCAATTAGACAAAAAACATAGAAAGAATCCCCAAAAACCAAAACATTAGTCCCATTAAACCTGTATGTCTGCCAGTGAACATGAAACACCATTCAGATCTGCAGCTGTAACTCCAGTAATCTCAGTTCTAAAATCAGCAACTGCTTTGTTTGGATTTACAAGTTTATTAAGTTTCACCTGAAAAATCAATTGGTTGAGTAAATTCTCCTTTTCTTTTCATCTGCTGCAAAATAATCAAACCATAAAGAAAAATTAACTAATTGCATAATTCACATTGGTACCTCTAAATTGCGATCTACAACACAAACTTTCACTAGAGCTTCAGTCCCATCTTCACAAAGAACCATCTCACAATCAACAGCAACCATTTCATTTGATCTCATCACCTTGGATTTTTTAGGTAGCTTAGCAACCACCCAACCCTGAGCCAGTTCATCAGCATATAAAGATTTTGAAGATACAAGTATAAAATATTATGAATGGTAACCCCAGTAGAGACGAGATTTTTACAACAAACCTCCTCATGTGACGGGAATGTATAATCTAGAGGATACAGTGGGTGCTCCAGGGTCAAACGTACCAGCCTCTGCACTGCCACCATAACCAATTAACAGGGATTACAACAGAACCTCAAAAACCAAAGTAATCCCCACAAGAAAAGGGTGAAACAGAAGTCTCATGACGAAAGTATGAGGCCACTAAACATGATCTTGGCACCGTTGATGCTTACAGAAAACTGCTAAATACCTCTAACCATGGTTTTACTATGACTAAATTATAATTACTCCCTCCGTCACTATAACTAACTTGCAGTAACTTTAATTGAAAATATTTTTTATTGAAACAAAAACAATAAATAAATAATCAGTTGTCATTCATATCCTATATAAAGGCACTATCTAGAGTTAAGAATTAGTGACAAATAACTTGAGACAGAGGGAGTATAACATAAAGTAATGAACTTTTGGTTGGCAATTGCTGAAGAGGGAACCTTACTGTACCTGCTCAGGGGATTCATTATCTGGAGATTCCTTTCTGAATTGCACCACCATCTGGCGATTCGAATGACATTGGAGTACCCTATCAAAAAACTGTGACCAAGTAAAGAGATGCAGCAATTAACCCAGATTGATAAAATGAGATATCAAGGCATATAACCAAAGAAGACAAACAATTCAGAACAGAAAATGCTATAAGTCCATCGGTACCTTCAAATCATTCTCTGCAGTAAATGTCCTGAGAAAAGATACCAGAAATTCATTGGACCTTTTTGATGGGTCACTCAAGCTTGACCCAAACTTCCTATCGCTAATGTTCAGAAACTCCTTCCAGTCTCCCTGCGTACCTTTCAGTCCTCTCTTTTGGGCTAACTTCACAAGTTCAACCAAAACCTGCTCCACATCTTAAGCGTCATTGTAGATACACGAGCATCTATCCAATTTAAGGAAGGGGAGGAGAAGATAAAAGGCTTACCTTTTTCTCTGCGGTGGCTAGCTTCTCCTCCATTGGGGATTCTAAGGAGAGATGGAAGGATGGAATGAATGAC